TTGTTGGGTTTTTTTTTTTGTGTTTTTTTTTTTTAAAACAATTGGCAGGACAAGAAGAAATAAATGTTGTATTGTGCTAATTATTTGTTTATAAAAATGATGTTAATGACAAATTATTTTGCTAAATATAAGTAAATTGTTTTTTAAATCGAAGAGTCAATTCTGTAAGGTGCTGAATTACACTTTCAACATGTACACACAGTAGTCTAATTTGAGTGACAGCAAAGAGAATACTAAAAAAATTTTGGAATAACTTCAGCTTTAGAAAGTTAAAAAATAGCTAAGATTGCTAAGTGACATCAAAATATTGACCCATCATTTAAAAATACAAGTAGTTTAGTTAAAGCAGTGAATGGGAAAGGACAAACCTTGTGTGTCACTAACATAACATAACACAGACTGCTTTTCATAAAATCTTTTTATATTGAACCATTATGTTACACTGTGAAAATCTGTATAGTTCAGTACAATAATCACATCTATCAACTTTGTTTTAGTAGTTAGATTCTCTAATACTATCTCTTTAGTCTTATTCCTGAGAAGAAAATCTCTTGATTCTTGATTTTCACCAAAAAAAAAAAAAAAAAAAAAAAAAAAAACATTCTCTGCTCCAAAAGACGGTTAATGTTCTTCTCTGTGTAAGCAGATATTGGGAGAGGAGATAAGGTGCTGGAGGAGGGGAGAAATGGAGATACAATCACTGTCTATATCTGGTTATATGCAGGTTTATTCTCGTCAGTAATGTAAGATTAAGCTCATTAGCAGTTGGCTACATAGCATAGGTATTTTCCTTTACTGGAGGTAGAAGCTGATGATAGGTGCAGCTTAAGACTCTGTGTGCTGCCCCTGGTTGCTATGATGGAAATGGGCATGTGTGTCCCTTTCCATGGCTCCATCCTTTCTGTCACTTCAGGTACAAAGCTGGACATTAGCAGAAAACCTCAGGCAAAATGGCATAGTTTTGAAGCAGGTAAAACCAAATCTGATTAGAAAGTGTTAGGAAGCTTAAATAGCAGCTATAATAGTTGTAAATAGCAATCATTCATGTACATTGCAGCTGAGATTGAGGAATGGCTGTTTGGCTAGTCCTTCCTCAACTCTTATTTTTGACATTCAGTTTAAAAAGTATTTTAACTCGTTCTGTTTATAATTGCAGTCATCACCTTTTTTAAATTTCCTTGAGTAGCCAGATATGCTAAGGAAAGGCTTATTGTAGTTTAGGGTGGAGAATAAGCAGTATTGTTGCTTGTAGTAGGACAGGTCACGGGTTTATTGCTGCTTGCAGGAACCACAGTTGCGAGTTTGAAGGTATGTAATAAGCAGTTGTTATTTTTTTTTTGCTGTATTTCTCAGATTGCCACAAGGTGGCAATGGTTCAGAAGGTTATTGCTCCAGGTCCATGTCTTTGGTTTTCTGTTTTTGTCAGGAATCGGGTCATGCACAGACTGTGGTGCATCCCAGTGTCTGTGGCCTCTGGGGCATTGGAAAGGGAGAGGCAGGTAGCAAGTGCTTTTGCCATTGGGGCAGCACTGAGATGAGCTGTGCACATGGCAGGAGACAAGTAGATCCATCTGCCCTAAAACTACCATCTACTCCTTGAAGCAAATTTTTGGTTTTTTGTTTGTTTTTTTTTTTTTTGCTTGTTTGTTTTCCTCCCCTTCCAAACCAAAGGCATAAGCAGTTTTGCTGATACAAGTGCATAGATGTGTGGTGTTTCCTTAGAAGTATTGCTCTTTATTATTAGAAAGTAAAAGCTGTGCTGATGGAAGGACTTAGAAGCTGCCAGCTCAGTTTAAAATGAGGCTTCTTGGAAAAAAAAAAAATAGAAATAAAGCCTTGGGTGTAAAAGCAATTTGTTGAGATTGTTGGAAGGTATGAGTAGAACAGGAATACTTCTCTATGTTTCTATCCCACCATTCTTTTACAGCGTATCATCAGCATGACTTTTAAGTAGTGCTGTATTAGTGATTAAAAAATATTCATCTACAACAAGTCTGTGTCAGAAAGATCTTTTCCTGCTGTAAAAGGTAATAGATAGGACTATCCTCTTTGAAGTGTTAAGTGCAAATGAGTTTTTTTTAGATTTTTTCATGTCTCAAGTTAATTATTTATTATTTATGCATAGTATTTATGCATGGAGACATTTTGATAAATTTGATTAGTGTGAAAATTATGAAAGCAAAATTTACTACTGCAAGTCTATCAAAAGTCAATTATTCTTTACTTAACAGGTCTTCAAAAAGGTTATTCTGTCTTAAGAATGTATTTTCATTCCTTTATAGTCCCCTAAGTTTAGCATATTACCCTTTGGAAAAGAAGAAAGGACAGAAGAGAAGTTTTTATCTGTTACACATCTGTAATAAAGAGGGAAAAGAAAAAGTAGTTATTTTTCCCCCCCCTTTAAGTTTCCTGTGCTTATCTTTTAGATGTATTCTGTAAAATGACTAAACTGAAATTCTGACTAGCTTAAATTTTCTCCCATGAAGCAGCAGTGGTTATTATGAAATATCACAAAAAATATGGCAACAGGTTCTAGAAATAAACCTTAAAACCACAAAACAGTTTGAAGAAAGTGTTACTGTGTTTCAGTTCATGCCCTGAGTTCTACTTACATTTCTGGGGAGCTGTAGTAATATTAAAACAAACAAATAGAGCACACTAAAAAAGTTGTACTGTTTCAGATCTTTTCCTGCTGGTCTTAAAATGTCGTGTGAGAGGCAGGATGTAAAGGGCTGGAAGGTTTTGCACCAAGTAGAGGGTCCATGCACATGGGACAGGTACTAGAACAGAAGAACGTCCTTGGGCTCTTTTATATAAACTTTTGCCTGAAAAAGATATGGTCCATATCCACTCCTATACTATTTAGGTGAGATCCTCGTTGTCCACAATCTCCTTATCTCTCCTTTTTTTTTTTTTAATCAAGAGTGACAACTGAAATTAGCTCGCATTTGCATGGTTATGTTGGTTGGCAGTGTCTGTGACTCAATATGTTTTCTACAGACACCTGTTTCTCTCCATTTACTATAAAGGGATCCTAATGCAATTAGACCTCTCTTGTTGGTTGTATTTCTAAACTACTAATTTTACTGTTTTTAAGGTACTTGCCTTCAAATTGAAGTGTGGTAATGAATGCATTAAAAACAAACAACATTAAGGGTAAAATATAGGAGGGAGTGAGAATTCAGTGTTCTGTATTCTGAAAAATAAAAAAAACAGAGGAATAACATGTTGGAACGGACCACTGTAATTAAACTGAATTTTGGTGGTTAGCATAACCGTATCTCTGTGTGGCAGAGTGCTCAGGATCTGTGAATAGATCTCAAATTGCCCACAGTATGAAGTGTAGCTTTTCGCATTTTCCATTGAAATTACTGTTTTTTTAATTTTGTCAAAGAACTTTATTCCCTTACGCATCCCGATTTCACGCTAGAACATGAGTAATTTAAGGAAGATATAATAATTCTCAAATACCATTGAATGCTCAGAATTACTACTTGAAGTAATGAATATGTAAGCAATATTTTAAAGGCATTTCAGTTTGTTAAAGTACTTAGAAACAAGGAAGCCAGAATTAAAATTTCATTGCCTTATTCATAATGTTTTTGTTTGATATGTGGGTAATAGACAAGCAAATCACCTAAAGAATAAAGTCTGCAAGCATGGAAACACATTTTCATAATTGCTTTGGCAGGAAGCCTGCATGTTTTAGTGACAGACATGCGAATACTTCGTACAATGAATTAGCTGTTCGCTTAGCAATGGAGCGTTGCTTGTAAGCATGGAAGCTCTTAATAAAATCCCCTGCAAGAGCAAACATGTGCTTACATCTGAATAAAAGCCCTAAACATCCCTTGTGATTTGTGTTTTCTGATAACGATTCCAGTATCTTTAGCGAAATAAGAGTTGCGTCAGATAAAAAGAAAGACGAGTCTTGCATATTTGGGAATGAAGACTGAGTTCCCTTAGAACCAGTCAAGCTATGAGGATCTGTACAAACAATGGATGTCTAAAATGGATGGATAGATACTACTTTTGGTGTATGTGCAGACATAATACAAGTACTTTTCTCATATTGGAATCTTTTTGTGTTGGGGTATCCTGGGACTTGAAGAACATAGTAAACTGTTGCTGTTGGAATAATGTTATTTATTGCAGTTTTATCCATTACAAATAAAAAGGGCTTCTTGCTCTTTGAAAAAATTGCCTCTGGGTATACATTTTTTTTTAAAACTAAAAACCTAAAAATATTCACTATGATAAACACTGTACATTAGTTAATAAGTTTGAGGGAACCCAAACATATGTTGATGATTGTTGCTTTGCTGTAGCAATATGTTGGTGGCCATCTCCTAGATATCTCATTCTAAATTCTCTTCACAGAGGTGATAAGGAGAAGTATTTTCCTAAATATTTAGATAGCGTAAACGAACTGCTGACAAAAAGCCCGCATCTCATCACTGGAGACCTTTCCAATTGTCCTTCTGCTAACAATAAATGTGTAAATTGATAAAATAAATGGATTACAAGGTTTAATTCTCTATGGAGAGTCTACTTTCAAAATGCTCTGAAGATGGATACCAAATTCACTGAAATAAATTAGGTACTGACCTTGGACATGCATTGTAGATGGTCCCACAAATTATTTATTTGTCTTTATAGGTAGCAATATGCCAGGGTGGGTAGGAGTCATTTCCAAGGAGTCGGTTCCCTTTGTGGTGAGCATATCTGTTAAAATTTGCCTACAGTGCTGCTTGGGCCACTCAAATATATGGAGGTTNCCCCCCCGCCGAAGGCAGGAACAGAAAGGTCAAAACTTGCTTGGCTGCTTGGTGTCTCTGTCACCCAGCTGAGGCTCTGAGGACCTGCAGTCAGTGAGGAGCCCAGGCCATCTTCTCCCACTGACCTGCACCTTCCCATTGAATGCTCTGGTGCTGAGTGATTTCACTTGGAGACTAACTGCATTTGTTATTTTCTTTCTTCTCCCTCTGTTTTACCTCTAGCTCAATAAGCAGCAGCTGCAGATCCTGAAGGAACGTTTCCAGGCCTTTCTGAATGGGGAGACGCAGATCGTAGCAGACGAGGCATTTTGTAATGCTGTGCGGAGTTACTATGAGGTATGATACATGCTTCTCTTTCTGTAACATTTAGAAACCTCCTACAATCCTTCTAATGCACATACCTAGAAAGGAGCTTTAATTTTCAAAGGCTGTGAACTTCCAAATCTCCTAGAAACAGTGTGTGTTGTCGTGTCCCTCCTCCCTAGACTACATTATCTAGTTTTTCAGGTTTAAATCCACTGACTGGGTACAAGAGATAAACCGAACTGGAAAATATCCACATGTTTTGAGGGGAGAAAAAAAGACCAAACCGAAACACCCTGGTGCTGAACATCTTTCTGGCAGAGTTTGATACAGCTATGCAACCATCTTTAGCACCATGTCTGCGCTACCTCTTTTAATCAGAGCTTCAGTTGTGAGTTACTATCATGAGAAACATCTTCTGATTTTCATTTCCTATAATGCAGTGTTGTTGGAGGCAAACTGCTCGTTTCCCCCTCAAAACAAAAATGCTTTCAATGGAGCTGAGCCAAGCTGGGGCTTCCTGGCATCCTGAATGATTGCCGACACCAATGCCAGCCTTCAGATGTGCTTTCTAACTGCCTATGGGATAGGTCTTGTCCTCACTAAGTCCAAACTGAAATGACAGTTCACTGTCCTTTTCCTAACACCAGAAACATGTGACTATAGATGAATACCTTTTGTGCCATATGCAAATGCTACTACTGTGCATTCATTTGTCTAATGTAACTTCAAATTTATTTAGTGAATCACAAGTGCTGCATGTTAAACTTGTATATCTTTTACTTCGTGCTGCCATATCATTTTAAAATTCTTTAGCTTTACTTTTCCTCTCAGCTATTCTCTGCTTATAAAAGAAAGTTTTCTTTGTGGAAGAAAAGATGCAATTTATGTAGCTGCTTTGCTTTATATACTTTATGCTACATACACGCTCACACACATACACACAAGCATACAAAAGAAGGGCTTCCTGACATAGCTCAGTCATTTCCCTAAGTAGGGTCTAATCAGTACTAAAGCAGAGAGAATGGAGAAAATCTCATTAAAATCCTTGGGAACACATTGAAAGAGTCTGATTTAGGCTCCAAGTCTACAGATGAAACAGGAACATTCACACAAGCAGTGGGTGAGGAGGGGACAGAAGAACAGTATAGGAGCTGAAAAGTAGGGTTTTTTTGTTTGTTTGTTTTATATATATAATTCTGATCTGATAAAGTTAATACTGGGAGGAGAGAAAGTTTGCAAGATTGTGCAGCTAAAGCTAAGCTAGTTAAGGTAGTTAACTAGCTAACTAGCTGACTAGCTGTCCAGTAACAGTTTTTAGAGAGAGGATAGGTAGTGATTGAATGTACTAAACAGTGTACTAAACAGTGTACTAAACATAAGCTAGAACTGAAGACATACCATTTGTTGTTCTTTTTTCAAACTACCTGTTCATGAAGGGCTGTATTTATTTTAAATGAGACTTTGAATATGAGGGGGTATCATTAAGCCTCACAAAGAAGGAAGTGATAAAGCATAGGTAACATCCAGGAACATTTGTTAAAAGGGCCTAAACAAACTTAAAAATACCAGTTGATTTGAAGGAAGCAACCTTGTTTGGAAATGCTCAAGTGTTGAAAAAGTAATTTTTATCATGTAGAAGTACTTTTGTAGTATATCTGCTCTTTCAGTGTTGTAAGAGATAGTCAACAGTATGCAATGTTAATTACTGAGTTCAGCTTTTCAGGAGACCTGATTAAATCTACTGCTCTTCTTCAATACATATTGCAACATATTCTCTTTTTATCATTTGCAAGTGGCTTTCATGACCTTTTCATTTGATTATTTATCCATTTGTTGAAAATATTAAGCTCTTTTAGTTATTTGTGTGTTCAGTTTACACTGTTTTTAAATGTTTCCTGGCCCATATATTTTGCACATGTGATGCTGCATGTCTCTTATTTGTTGACCTTTGTTAGTACTTTGAACAATGGGCATCTTGCTTGTCTCAGTTGCATGATATCTCATCAGCCTTAATCTTAATTTCTGTATGCTTTAGTTCAGTTGCTGAGCTACAGTTCAAGTTTATCCCACGTAGAAAGAAAACAATATGTATACTGTGCAATATTAACTGGGAATTAGTAATTGCCCTTTAATCCTATGCTGTTGAGCTGTTGTTCAATACTGCCCTCAAAGTCAGGCTTTTCTCACTAATGTAGATGACTTTCCACATGCAATTCTTAGACCTTAAATCTGAAGCAAAAGTTCTGGGTTTTTTTTGTGTATGACATAAAATCCTGTATTACGAGTTCTGGATGTTTTGAGTTGCTAAAATCTTCTAGAATGACTTGTTTCATTCAGTGTTTTTCCTCTTGATTTGGAATTAGGAATAAATTCCCAGGATTTAGGAACTTAACCAATTTAGGAACTTAACCAAAGCAATTATTTGGTTTACTTTTCTAGAAATATTTGCTGAAAGGGCAATTTATTTTATATACATATATATATATGTGTGTGTGTGTGTATGTGTGTAAATATATATATTTATGTGTGTAAATATATATATTTCTTGTAACAATTTCATTGTTTTACATGCTATGCTGCTGTGATGATTTTTCAAACAGTCCTGTCACTGTTTACCTTTGTTGGTTTATCCTCTAGCCCTGTGTCTTTTCTATTGCTGTTATGTTATTTTTTTCTGAAAATACTCTAGCATTATTTTTTATCTATCTTAATAATCTAATGAGAATTCATAGAAAATGTTACTAAACACTTTTTTAAAAGCCTGGCCAAAATACACAAGATTCTCTTTTGTGTTCATACAACTCTGATTGTCTTGTTGATTTGTTTCCTCTTCTATCCTAGTGTAGTTTTAGAGAAACAGAAAATTATGTTTACAGTCCTATTTCTGTTATAATTTTCTCAGTATTAACTTTTCTTTGGTGCCTGTGGAAAATTCCACTACAGATATTGAGCCAGATTCTGATAATCTAGAAGATCAGATGTTGGTGATGCTTTTTGGATAAAAAGAAAAATTCAATCATATGGCAATTTATTATGAGTAATTATATTGGACACACTGCTAAGTGTAAAATTAAGAGGGGAAGTGATTTATGTAATAATGTGTTTCTTCACATATTTCAAGCTGGTTTTTTTTNTTTTTTTTTTTTTTTTTTTTTTTTTTTTTTTTAGAAAATATATCTATGAAATAATATTCTGTCAAATTCTTACATGTTCATTCATGTAGGTAGGAAAATGCTCTTGTGAATACCCCTGGTAAGAGAGTTTCTCACCTAAGGCCATAATAGATGTGTATATATCTTCAGCTAAACATAGTCACAGTGCTGATTTTTTTCAGTTGAGGTTATGCAGTCTTAGGCACAAGTAATGCAGGTGCCAGGAACAGTGATGGATATATAAAATATTGTGAGAATTTTGTGTTTTATTTGTTTCTTCATTTTAAGTAGACCGTAATTACTGAATACCACTTAAATCCAAGTGCTAAATGCATTTTTTTTAAATCTAAATTTAGGTTTAGTTTGTCTTATTGACTGGTACTATAAAATCATTTTTAACTTAACTTCTATTTGAAGTCAGATGTAGTATCTTTGGCAAAACCAAATTGCTTTAAGGCTGGTGAGGGAGGGGTGTAAGGATGAAAGAAAGTGTTCTTTTTGTTCTTAACAAAAAGCAGAAGGTCCATCTCTGCAGTTGTCTAAATTATAAGACAAACCTTTCATTTCCAATAGCAGGTGGGTGGACGCCTCTCAGTTTCTCCAGTAAATACAGCAAATGTCCTACAAACGCTTTTGGTACGAAAACTTAACTGCCAGTGCAAAGCCCTGCTGGGTAACCTGTCAGCAAGGGAGAAGAAAGACATGAATCTTCTTTGCAGACTGGAGCTTGGACAACTTTACTCACCCCCTCTCCTGAGCCTGACTTTCCTGCTTTTCTCAGTCTTTGCTTTTGTATTTTGTCTTCCCTTTCCATCTTAGGTAGACAGCACATTCCTTCTTTGGGTTTCTGATAATATGCAGGAAGGACTCCACATCTGCGAGTGAAAAAGGTTGTCATGCTGTGAAGCAAAGATGGACAAAGTCATCTGTTCAGAATAGTCAGTACAGGGCTGTGAAGGAGCCAAAAAGCACAGTATTTCGACGGAATGGAAGGAAACTATTTCTAAATAATGCAGTAAAGCTCTATCAATATATCAAGACTGTGATATCTTTATTGTTTCTTTAATTTGGTCAAATGTATTTAGATGTTTGCAGGAAGTATCAGTTGTATGGCCCGTGTGATGGAAGCGTTAGTGTGACAAAATTGTTGATTGTTTCTTGACCTGTAGAGGAGGATGAACTGTGTTTATGGGGGCTTTTCTGTGAACACATTCAGCTATAAAAGATTAATTGGATAAAAGTTGAAGCATTTTTATAATGGAAGGAATGAAGCGATGATGCTATTTCTGCCTGTAATTGCGGAAAAATTGGTCTAAGGTTTTTGTACATATGTCAACAAGGTGAAGGGTGAAAGTATCTCAGTGGTGAAATTGTGGAAAAATAGTAGTTTTATGGGCTAAATGGTATTTCACTTGCTTTTATGTCTTGATTTTTAATATCAGCTATTTTAGGTACTGGGTTTTATTGAAGATAACAAAAAGCACAGTTGATCCTGATGAATATTTCAGGGTTGAAGATGACTTCTAAAGGAACTAAATAGCTTTCATTAGAATCAAAACATACTATGCACAAAATAACTGGTAATTAAATGCTGAAATGCTCTGTTTTGATATTATCAAGCCGAAATAATGGAATCAGTAGTCTGAAAGTTAATTTAAATACATTAGGATAATAATTGTAGGAGGCATAATTTCACTGATTTCTGCCGTCTGTTTTTTTTTTTCCCCCAGAAGTCATGATTATCTTTGATATATAAATGTGCTAAAGGAGATGGGCTTTTTGCTTTGTTTAGCTTATCTTCAAAATCTATATACTAGAGTATTTTGGGAGTTATTGATGATTTGGGTTCATTTGCTGAAGCAGTTTGAATAACATATT